CTTTCTTGTGTCCCAAATTCACTCTGAGGTGGACGCTTCTTTAAATTGGTACATTGTACCCATCCTTCCCCTTTTCCTTCATGGTCTTAGGGACTGAACTCAGGGTCTCATGCATGCTAAACAAATGCTCTACCACCAAACTAACTCCAATTCTGTTTTTATTTTTAGAAAAATTGAGACAGGGTATCACTAAGTTGGCCAGGCTGGCTTTGAACTTGTAGTCTTCCTGTCTTACATTCCAAAGTCTCAGAGACTGCAGGTCTATGCCAACAGGACCAGACCAGGCTTTTCATTAGAGGACAGTTAAGGTTGTCTCAGACCTGTAACCATACTGGCCCCAAGAAAAGCATGTCACTTTAGCACTCAGGTATACAAGGATTGTGGTAGCTGTGAATGAAAATTCTTGAAAAGAACCTGTCTCTGTAGACAATAACTGGCCACAATTTCAATACCGTGGAAAGACTAGAAAGCTCAGAACCAGAGGCTAATTGCCATATTTCAGGCCTTTAGCTTCCAGGATGGCCATTCTTTACCTACTTCTAAGCTGAAACAACATTCTGTGGCTAATAGGAAAAAAACAAAAACAAAAACATTTGAAATCTCTTGGTTTAGCAGACCCCTGGCTTCTCCCAACTCTAAAGTTAAGAATGTTATCAGATAGCACCTTGGGCCTATAGAAAAGCCTCCCCATCTTACCATAACCACCTCACTGATGTACCCACCAGTGTATTTTAAACTTGCCTTGATTTATGACTTTCTTCATTCTGTAAACCTATAAAACTTCATGAAACTGTTTTTACATTGGAACCAGTCATTTGGGGTAACCTAAATCTGTGTTCCCAGGCCATATTCCTTCAAAGTGGCCTCAGAATAAATGTTCATTTATTCCCTTTAAGACGGGAGCTGTGGTTTTGACTTTGACAACACTCACTGGAAGCCTGCCGCAGCAGGGAAGTGTGTGTGCCCAGGGGTGTGTAGGAGCATGTGCACGCATACATGTATGTCTTTGTTGATGTGTGTTTACATGAGAGGCAGATAGCCTGTAATGCCTTTGCAGATGGTGAAGGATAGTGTGGGTCAGCAACACTGAGTTTGAGAACTGTCATCTTGTGGTTGGGGGAGCCTCCGTTCAAGGCCATCTGGAGAAGAGCTTTATGTATCCCTCAAGCTGTTCTGCTCAATGGGTCACTTGCTAACGGCCCAGTAGCCATGAGTGTACATGGCAGAGAGAAAACCCTTGGCTGTCAGAGGCAGAGAGGAATTGCTAAGGCTCACGGGAGCCACAAACCTCTGTGTGGTTGCAGGAGGGGGATGGTGGCTTCTGTCAGTTTTTATACCAGTGTTTCTTTTTAAGCACCAACCTCCCTGACTTTGATGCAAGAATAAATTAATTTCAGAACTTTGACTTGAAATTTCCTGACTCTGCCTGTCTCCTGTCTGTCCACCCACACAAAACAGAAACTGCCGAACCTTGTCAGCTTTCACTGGAGCAGCTTGTGTTCCAAGCTCTCCCAGGGAGTCTCTTAAAAGAGCAGGGAGTTCTTTTTTTTTTTCAAACCTCCCTTTCTTCCTTAAAATTTGCCCATTTTAATGTTGAGCTGCCTTTTAAAACACAAATAAAATGCTGCTCTGTTAGCCTGCCCAAAGTTGATATTCTTGTTCCTCAGGGATTGACAACATCAGAATTACACTATTAACATTTTTAAAGGAATAATTTCTGATGACCTCATATAACTCCCAAGGTGACATATCTTATGTTTACATTGAATATGTGCTTTTGAGGGAATACAACATAACTGTCAACTTTTGTCTGGTTTAGATTTGAAAGGGATGAAAGCTTTAAGAGATTTCCAAGTCATTCTAAGGTCTCTGTATTCTGTATGAGAGGACACAGGGAATGAACACTCTCTGCAGGGATTAGCCAATAAATACTTCCTGGTAATGGATCATTGTCCAGATTAGCAAATGAAGATGGTACAGAACCATGATGCAGACTCTGGAACCTCATTTCAGTTTCTAGAAATTGGCCTCTCTGTTCTGTGGAATTCAATATTGGATGCCTTCTTCTCTGCAGGTTCATGGTTCTTATAATCCATAGGTATTCAGTTTTTTTTTTATCTATTTACTTCTATTTTACATGGGGGCCTTACTATGTTGCTTAAGTTGGGCTTAAGCATAGTACATAGCACTGCACTGAGCAAGGTACCTTCTATTATATGCACCTCAAGGTCCAAACATAGGCAGCCTTCAAACATTTCCTCCATTCCTTCTTATCTCCAAACATGTATGTATAAGATTACACTAGATCACTAACATGCTCACGCATGAGTGAAGAAAGAGAAAGGATTTCCACTCCTGTATCTTGAAGAAGTCTGACACAGTGTAGATATAGCATATAAAACTCTTTCCTCCCTAGTAAAAACCCCACCTGCTTCAAACCTTTCTAGAAATCATTCCTGAAGAAGTCAGAGCTGAAACTCATTATCGTCACAGTCAATACTTCAAGGTCAAGTATTCCGGATATCACTTTGTATTAGTCAGGGTTCTCTAGAGGAACAGAACTTATAGAATTAATATCTATCTGTCTGTCTGTCTGTCTATCTATCTATTATCTATCTATCTATCCATCTATCTATCTATCTATCTATCTATCTATCTATCTATCAATCATCTATCTATCATCTATCATCTGTCTATCATCTATCTATCTATCTATCTATCTATCATCTATCTCTATGTCTATCTATCTATCTATCTATCTATCTATCTATCTACCTATTATCTGTCTATCATCTATCTCTATATCTATCTTGCTGTCAACCAGCAGAAGGCCCAAGAATTTGCTAGTTGCCCAGTTCTTGGGGCTGAATGACTCAGCTAGTTGTCAGTATTCACTGGAATTCTGAAGAAATAGGCTCTAAAAGTCGGTCTTCCTACTTCAAATGATTTAAATTAAGAAAAAAAATATCCCCCTCAAAGGTGTCCTCAGCTGCTTGGGTTTTAGTTACTTCCAAGCTGACAACCAAGAATGGCCATCACAGATTTCAGTGATTTAAAATGATTATTGAAGTATTCTTTAGGTGTGTAGCCAGAGCCATTGGAGAGTTTTGTGGGTGTTTATTGCTCATTGATTGCAAAGGGCCTGGCAATCCAATCTCTAATTGTCTTTATGCCGTATTGGGGTATTTTGCTGAGCAGATTGAATACAGAGATCTCAGCAGGCAGGAAACTGATGGGACCTTTCTTATAATCCATGCTGGAAGGTTCACAAGGGTGTGCCCTTTACTGTGCTATGGCAGAAACAGGTTTTTAGAGGTATTGGTTGTTACCAATAATGAACTCAGGAAGAAGAGAAATCATGATGTGTGCTGAAATTTCTCTACACCCAGAGCATAGAGATGCTTTGTTTATTTTCTTGGATTAAAAGGTCAGCTGCTTACAGCTCATTACTAACTAAGCTTGTTCACAATCACACCAGGGAGTCCTCTGAGATGTCAATGTTTGTATTTACATTGGTTCTACCTCAAAAAGCCTTAGGCAAACATCTGTGCTCCTTCCCTTTATCTGGTGACACAAGAGTGTGACAGCACAAATCCAGCTCACTGTAGTTTATGTTGATCATTTTTCTGGAAAAATATTGAGTGGCCAAACCTACTCCATCTTGGGACTGGCCTCCATCTTAGCAGAAAATACAACACTATGGTGGGAAAGGCCAATACTTATTATTAAGAAGAAATAAATAATAGTGATTGAATCTCAAGATCATTTCTGTAAACATGAGAGTACACACACACACACACTTTTCTGTCCACATAGATGTGCACTTGGGAAGACATATCTGCCTGTCAATGTTACCAGTAGCTTCCAAGATCAGTAAAACACAGAGATTTTGTACTCAATATGTAGAGCCTGAAAGATTGTGGTTCAAATACCATCTCTGCTTGTGGGGCAGTATACAAATGACTTATGTTTCCTATAGTTTTATTCCTTTAAAAATGATGGCTATCATATAAGATGTATAGAGTATAGAGAACTGATGTAGCAATATCCAATAAAACCATGCATCTAAACACCAGACATCTGAGAATCTCTTCAAGTTATAAAATCCAATTCATCAGGTTCGGATGCTGCTGGTTCATGGACAAACGATGAGGAACGAGGACACCAAGTCCACACAGTGAAACTTAGATTTGCTATCTATTGACTTCACAAACTTAATAAGAGCAGAACGCTGAGAGAGAGAGAGAGAGAGAAAGAGAGACAGAGAGAGAGAGACAGAGAGACAGAGAGAGACAGAGAGAGACAGAGAGAGAGACAGAGAGAGACAGAGAGAGACAGAGACAGAGATTTATTAGAGAGAGAGAGAGAGACAGAGACAGAGAGAGAGAGAGACAGAGAGACAGAGAGAGAGAGACAGAGAGAGAGAGAGAGAGACAGAGATTTATTAGAGAGAGAGAGAGACAGAGATTTATTAGAGAGAGAGAGAGAGAGACAGAGAGAGACAGAGAGAGAGAGAGAGAGACAGAGAGAGAGAGACAGAGATTTATTAGAGAGAGAGAGAGAGACAGAGAGAGACAGAGAGAGAGAGAGAGAGAGAGAGAGACAGAGACAGAGATTTATTAGAGAGAGAGACAGAGAGACAGACAGAGAGAGAGAGAGAGACAGAGATTTATTAGAGAGAGAGAGAGAGACAGAGAGAGACAGAGAGACAGAGAGAGAGAGAGAGACAGAGATTTATTAGAGAGAGAGAGAGAGAGAGAGAGAGAGAGAGAGAGAGAGAGAGAGAGGTTTATTGGCTCGCTGGAGCGAGTGCAGCACCAACTCAGTTTCTCTAGGTGCAGAGGATAAAATGTTTGGCACCAGGTTTTACCCTCTTCTTTCAAGAGCTTCTTCAAGAGGAGGTGCTGGAACTGATTGCTACCATTTGGCCATGAGTCAGCCAAGGGCCATAGGACCCCACATCAGAGACAAGACTACAGCTGATGCCTGAAGTCTCTTACCTGTCATAGTCTTGGCAAATCTCTCCCACAGCCACCAAGGCTTTTAGGTACTCATTGGGCTGGTAAGGGTGGATATAGTGCAGGGAACAGCTGTTCCTGGGATCTCCATTAGAGGCAGTGAAATCTATAGCTACCTGGAAGAGGGAAAGCATAAGAATAAATGCACTGTAGGAACCATGACCAACCTAGTGGGAGACATGGCCTTAGACAGAGAAGAATAAGAGTACATGACATAATTTTGGCTGATAGGAAAAGTAAGAGAAGTTAGTTCACTGAAAACCCAGTTATTAATTTGCCTGAAGTCAGTTTTGCTGTATTTCATAGACCCTGCTTCTTCCTGTCCAAATGGGACTTGAGATGGTATTCAGAAAGTCCAGTCACTATTGACCCATGTCACCCAGCATCAAGGCTAAGGACGGGGCATCTGTCTCCAATTTCACAATCCAGTAAGAAAAGGCTCTTATTATACTCCATGAGCAGAACACCTCCAACTATGAAGGATAGGCAAGAACCCTTATGGCCAAATTTTGTGTAGAGAATCCCGACTCCCAAAGAAAGCTGCTGTCTAATTTGTATGCTGATAGCTTAGAGTGGAGAAGGGTACAATGTGAAGTCTTGGGGAAAAGTAGAATATTCATGCTGCATCATATGCTTTCTGTTCACCTACACTACAATGTGCCCACTGGTTCCCTGACAGCAAGAAAGCTCTGTTTTTCCTCATATGATCCTGGCGATTATGAGATGGGAATCATTGTTTGTGTTATATTTAGAAAATTCTATTAAAACCAATGACTGGGATGCTCCTTGGACTTTCAAAGAAGTGGGGGGACATCTAGAAGGAAAAATGTGCTATAATTAAAGAGAATATGACTTTTTCTGATGTTATAGTCCTCTACCCAATCAAAATGAAAAGAACAATTTAACTGTAATTTATTTGCAAGTTGTTTTGATTTTTTCAAATGGAGCTACTTCCCTTCTTCCTTACCTCTTTACAGGACTTAGTTAAACAAAGTACAAAGTACAAAGATTTGATAAGGAAGATCATGGAAAGGAAACTTACCACCACATAGCATCCTGACTTTGAATAATCATGAAGAGAGAGGAACAACTTCTGTTAAAACTTTTCTCCATGCAGACTGTTCTATTGGCATGATTACTTTGTATGAAACTGTAAGGTAGAAATTGTTCTTCCTCTTTATTAATAGCCATGATGCCCAAAGATATTGAAGGACACATAATTATTGTATGGTGGGGCTGGGTTTAAAGCTACATACATATGCCTTCAAAGATAATGCCTCCTTATTATGTTGCTATTCACCTAAAAGAGCATTTCCAGGGCAAAACATACTGATATTTATAACATATTCCTAGTAAGTTTTTATTTCTTGTGTATCTGGCTATAGTTTCTTGAAGCAATATCTTTGCTAAAATAAAATTTATAGCATTTGCTCATATGTAAAAAAAAATCCATCAGTAGATGAACAGGTAAAGAAAATAAAGTGCATGTATACATGTATACAATGGAGTCTTTTTCCAGCCATAAAGAAGAATGAAATTACATTGCCTGCAGAAAAATGGATAGAACTGGAATCCTGTTCATCATGTAAAGCAAACTAATTCAGATGCAGAAAACAATATATTGCTTATTTCTCTTGTCTGTGGATCCTAGATTTTAGATGGCTAGATAGATTTACACACATTTATGATATAGAAATTGAAGTAGGGTTGTCTAACTCTGTGAAGGAAGATGACTACTGAGAGAGGAGAGAGAGGAAGTCTGTCCAGTGATTCTGTCAAAATACATGCTATGAGTAAATGAAAAGGTCTTTATGAATCCTATCACTATGTACAATAAATATATGACAATAATAAAACCCCCTAAAATCTCCCCCGCGACAATACTAACTAACCAGAGCTCCCAGGGTCTAAACAGCTAGCCTGGGAACACACATGGAGGGGTCATGGCTACAGCTGTATATGTAGTGGAGGATGGCCTTGTCAGTGGGAGAGAAGGTCCTTGGTCCTGTGAAGGCTGGATGCCCCAGTGTGGGGGAATTTGAAGGCAGAGAGGTTGGAGTAGGTGAATGGATGGGGGCACACCCTCATAGAAATAGGAGGAGGGAGGATGGGATAAGGACTTTCTGGGTGGGGTCGTGGAGAGTGGTGAAAAGGGATACCATCTGAAATGTAGATAAATAAATTATCCAATAATAAAACAAAACAAACAACAACAACCAAAAAAAAAAAAAAACAGATAATGGCACTGGCTGTCACAGTCAAGCATTTGAGACTTTTTGGCAGCAATTTAATATTTCCCATATTACTGGGATTCATTATAATTTTCAAGAACAAGGGACTGTGGAAGGGGCCCATGGAACTTTAAAACAGTATCTTCATAAAATACAAAAGGGGGAGGTATATCCCCATACACCACAAATTTATTTAAATCATGTTCTTTTTATTTTAAAATTTTTTTTTAAATTGGATGCCAAGGAACTTTCTGCTGAATGTCTATGGCAATCTACAACTAGGCATACTTTTGCATAGGTGAAAGAGAAGGATCCACTTACTGGCATGTGCCATGACCCTGATCAGGTATTTAATATGGGGAAGAGGGCATGTTTGTGTTTATTTCTACAGGATGCTGAAGGAGCATGGTGGCTGCCAGAGCAACAGATGAGACATGCTGATGCTGGAATAAAGAAATGATGCTGACCTGTGAGCTTGCTGAGTGCCCTGACAAGGGTGACTGGGAAGCTGTATTGGACATATGTTCCCTACCCACCTTTGCTTAACTATACCCCTGATGGGACAAGCTGCCTTGCCTCAAGTTTTTAGACCTTGTGGAACAGAGAATCAAAAAAAGAAGTTATAATGACTTTTGTATTTTTCTTAAATGTGACCAGTTATTTGGACTCAATCATGTACTGGTCTAGAAATCAATCCAATATTGGAAATAATAGTCTTCATTTGGAAGGCTGGTTCTGGACATTTTCAGAGTTGCATTTGAGAGTTAGCTACAGTTCTCTGTAAAGTTATGTTAGCAAGAGATAAAGTTGGGACAGGATCAAGATTTCAAACAAATGTTAGTACATGTGTTAAGGTTCTTTTAATTGTCAAGTTAAAATTATTTTTGTTTCTTCTACAGTATTTAACGTAAGTTGCATTGATTGTACACTTTCCAATCTCTAATATAGCAGTTCCCATTAAAAAATGGAGGATATGGCCAGGAGGCAGAGAGACTGTGAGGTAGGAAGAAGAATGTAGCTGTGACAATTCAGGGGAAGTGGTCTTGAACCAATTAGTCCTCTGTGACTAACTAGTTGAAGAGAGGGGGGAAGGAACAAGCGAAATATGTGTTGCAGATAGGTAGGAGTGGAGAAAGGCTTTACTGAAGATAGAAGAAGATGACCCCAAAGAGATCCTAATGCCTCTCTTTTTTGAGATGGGGTTCATCCTGAAAGTGAGACCCAATCTTCACAAAGAAAGTGAAGGCACTGCATAAAACTCCCTCCAACTGAGCACTAGGATGCAAGGTGGTGATACTTAAAACCTCCACGAATTTTGAGCAAGAGACAGGAAACACCCTGGAATTCACTCATGAGGCTCTGGTCATATGACTATGGTCAAAATATGTGTAGATAATTCTAGAAAAATGTTTTTATGAGGAACATCCAAGAGGTACTCAGAGTTTGAAGATGTTGGTACATACTGTTAGCTCCGGCACTTGGGAAGGCAAGCTAATTTGTGAAGGTTGCAAGGCAAGGTCATCCTGGGCTACAGGACAGTAGATGGCATTTATCATACCATGCTAGAGCCCTAGGCTAAGTAATTTTGGTTCAGAGACCCACCATTCTCAGCCATTTTCTCTCAAACAGATAAATTTTAGAGATGATAACATCTGTGGTGGTTTGAATACACTTAGCCTAGGGAGTGGCACAATTAGGAGGTGTGGCCTTGTTGAAGTAGGTGTGGCCTTGTTGGAGGAAGTGTGTCACTGTGGTTGCTGGCAATTAATTGAACCCCTATCCTCTGGTGCACTTAACTGCCTCAATTAAATGTCCTTCATAAGAGTTGCCTTGGCCGTGGAGTCTCTTCACAGCAATGGAAACCCTAACTAAGACAACACCTTACATATACAATTGGGCTTGGAAGGTAAATCAGAGGTAGGATGGCCAAGTATGATATCACTCCTTTCCTTTCTACTGAGAAAATGATTTTAAAACTGTGGGGAACCCACAGCTTGGTGTGATGATATATTGGTATCATTTCTGTACTTGGAAGACTGAGGCAGAAAGACTGTGAGTTCTGTAGGCTAACCTGGGATATACGGTGAAAGATTATCAAATTGAAACTAAAATCCAACCAAGCAACCAAGCAACCAACCAACTAACCAACCAACTATCCCTTTAGGAAATCTCATAGAGCATTCAGATGTATGGCTATTACCTAGATCATATAATAAATATGAAAAATTAAGTCACTGGGAAAGGTTGACATTTTTAAAATGATGCTGGAGATTGAATCAGTCTCATGGCTGCTAAGTTACCCTCTTCTGTTCATGATACCCTTATCTCAGTACTTCCCACAACTGAAGGCTTCTTATCTCTGCCTCCTGATACATACATACGTTGACAATCCATGTCAGGACTTCATTTCCCAACTGAAAATCCTGAAATGTCAAGAGCATTAAGTGACAGCAAACACATCTTGAGGGCTTGATATGAAACTAGGAGAAAAATCTGTAAGAAAAGCAGCAGCCAAGGGAGCAGGGGCACCTGCCGTTCTTCCCGAGAAAGGCTGGATGTTCTAGGTATACAACTGCCAATGGCTGGCATCTCAGCCTGGCTGTATCGTCTAGATGGGTGTCATGATATGCTGAGAAGTATTGTATATACCACATCTGGATGAGCAGATACAGATTTGTTTGTTTAGTAACAATACATTTAAAACTGCTCTTAAACACATCTTAGAGCTGAAATTGGGGTGTAGCAAAAGATGAGCCTATATTGTAAATGCTAAAGAATTCTGTTAGGCCATATCATCGTCGGGCTTGGGAGAGCCTTATCATCATCATCATCATCATCATCATCATCATCATCATCATTATAAAATAAACTAGAGTGGAACAGAG